TCAACAGTTTTATAGAAATACTTTAAACGTGTCTACTTTTTTTTAAATAAACACCCAAACGACTCCACAGTACTACAACAGCGTACATTCTAGATATCAGTACTAGTAACCAACTGCCAGTAGACTGATTCATTTCTACGAATCAATAACGGGGAAATATAAGTCCTGATATCAATGAAATGAGGTTTTCTAAACTATAAGGTTATTTGAAAGCAACATTTACATGAGTAGATTAAATATTAACAGTAGACTAGACATACCTTAACTTTATCAACTTGACATCCGGGGCTTTTTAAAGGTATTTTATGACGTCGTAAAAGCTCCTCATTTACAATCCATGGACCTGTAAAGTTTGGTCCATAACGCATAGCATGACTTCGAATAAACATTTTGATATGGTCTTTGGAAGGTGCTCGGTTGATACGGCTAAAAGAATGAGAACTAGTCATTAGAAAATCTTACTCAATGGAACAGGCTGGAACATCATGTACAACAACAGGGATATCCGAAAGGACTTTAACACTGTAAGCGTAGTTTTTCTAGAAAAATACTTTACAAAGGTTTGAAAATTACCTTGATGGGAGAATTCTTTTTAGTCACATTTTCTTTGTCACTATTATTCGGTGAAGTGTTATCCGGAACAGGTGTCTAGGATTAAATGAATTAGGACAGATTCACATCGTACCGGTACAGTTTGAGATTTTATTATATCATCAATTATTCCACGTATTCTAAGTCGATGTTTTTATTTTTAAGTGAACTTACGGTGTATTCGAAACAGAGTCAACTTTTAGTTTCACAGGTTCCGCAATATGAAATTGTTCATGTATGGTGGTCCAGCAGCTGTGTACCAAGGATTCCAGGGGTAGAGTACCTTTTGTATTGTTAAATTTATGAGCAGATAAGCTTACTGAGATGGACGCGCTCAAGGATGGTTTTTTCAAAAAACTTGGGGAAACACTTTTTTAGTGTCCGAATAGCAGTTGCTTCAGTTTTCAATGCTTCCCGATAAGTTAAATTAGGTTTCCCAGTTACACGACAAGTCCATATATTTTCATTATATATAGTAATTTTGCGCTGCAGTTCCTCGGCAGATGTACAAATTTCTTGAGTTTCTGGGACGATAAATGCTGGTTTTGGTTCGGGTTCTTCGTGTTGCTCAGTGTCACGAGGTTTCTTTTTTCTCCATACCGGGTTCAATACATGTAGCTTCGTACTGATAAGAGGCATCTTAAAACCCAAAGCACTAGTATAAAATATATAATAACCAAAATGATAATACTGATAGTTAAATATGCTAACCTTGTGTTATATAAACTGTTGATAGCACAGATCCTAAAAAACCATACTTTATCTTATTTCAAAGCGACCATTAAAAGACGGAGCCCACTGAGTCATTAACAATGCTCTCGTTAGTCCTTACATAGTATGGCTCATGCCCATATACCTAGTAAATGTTGACTTAGTTACTTTTTGTTATGGGAGTAGCGTAGCGACAGTGCTGAATGTCTTAGAATACAATGATAGCATCTCTATCGGCTAACTTATCCTTGAGCAAAGCTTTCGACAGTGAGCTTGAAAAATCAGCCTAGAAATGGCATGTCATATCCAACGACTTCTGGCGTCAATGATTAATGCTTACCGTATTTTAAAAGCTAAAAGGAAGCCCATTTAGACTGTGTTCGTACAACACTTTGTCTGTGACACAAGGACGATTAACTAAGAGTGAAGTTTTGTCACTGGCTATTAAACCTTTGGCAGTGTAGTACATGTGTGGTAATTAAACTTATATTTTTATAAAACTATTCTAACCAATACTTGCTATTGCATTCCCCGAAAGTTTTGCTGCATAAATTAGTGGTTTAAACAAAAGAACAGATATTTTCAATATCATATTAAACTTTCTTTTCGGGTGGATTGAACCCTAAACGATTATATTTCGTTTAAAACTAGACAACTGACTTAACTGTTTAAAGGAGTTACTACGACTACATGTAAATGCTATCTCTGAAACATGCATGAAGAGCTCAAGTAAGGTCGAGTAGTTGGCCCCAAACTACCAGGCAATTGGGGTTTATACGAATACCTAGTGTAGTGATTTTGCCGAATCTAAGATTGGAAACCATATTCCAAGACTGCATAACGGTCAGTTGTTTGTATACAATTGACCACAGTCGATTTGTAAGATCTAAGAAAGACTACCACATTAATTGAAGCTTAACTAGGAATTTACCTACGGTTTTATAAGAAAGCCTGACACTAATAATCGTCAAAACTAGAGGTACAGGGTTGAAAGTAATCACTTTACTACTTACCGTGGTCGCTTAAGGAAATAATATACTGTCCAAACGATTATGATAAGTCAGAATTAGAACAGAGGAACACTGGCTGAGACATTACATACTAACAATGTTACTTATAACACCAATATATAGACAAAGAATGCACTTTCAAATAAATTATTCCAATCCAACCAATCTATATTCATTAAAGTTATTAATCTCACAATTACATTTAACGTATAAGCATATTCCAGTTAACGTTCCGAACTAGTCATCTCAACAGAAATTTTATTACATAATCCTATATTGACATGCTATAATTGTAAACGATGTAATTCCCCCGAACCCTGGAAACTTTCTGGATTATTTGTTTGGAGAAGAGAATAGAATCTATTGAAAGAAATGTTCAGCAAGACCAATTTATTGACGAACCAAACAGATTTAGAATGACATGTCATGAGTTTTGGCGCGAATTTCACTCATTCATATTTGCTACATAGCTTTTTAGCTGTCGGGTTGTGACAAAAAACCTATATTCAATCCCTGATTCTAACCATCCTATGGAAGGACAGCATATGTATTATTTGACTGAACTTTACCGTCTAGTAATATTCCATGGTTAGATGAAAGTCGTGTCACGTACTATGTAAGCCCATGTAAATACTAAGTTACTTTCACGTCGACCTAGTTCAACAGAAATTTTGTGCACCCAATTATTGGTTAGTACCTTATTTTGATTCCTAGTTTTTTTTATATTTTCACATGAACGGTTCTTCACTCTCCACTAAAAGAGGAAAACGACAATAAAAAAGCTAGAGCGAAGGACTCTAAAACGACGGACTATTAGAGAGTCATTTCAACTGAATGAAGAGCCGCTAGAATGTAGGAAACAAGTACAGGGACTCCAGTAACGTAACGATTTCAAACAATTATTGTGTCATAGAAAATTAAGTTTATCTAGGTTACGTCTTATTACACTACACTAGTGACGCATTTTTCACACAACCACATCACTTTTAAATTTCTCTTATGTTTATGTCAACAGTAGTGATAACCAAAATTTAAAAACACTCGGTTTAACAATTTAATTCGCAAGGCATTTACAAACGGAAGAGAACTTGAAATATTTGGCAAAACTATTTGCCGTTCAACAACACTAACACACTGATTGGTCATAACAGTCGGTAACTAGGGTTTCTAAAAAAAGCATCATATGCCGGAATAAAAGGAGTGATAATATGGTAGAAACCAATGTTACAACAACACTCGCTGCTGACATACACGCTTATTCAATCCTGACAGGCTGGTACTTTTGTCACAAATCAAATCTCGATCTGAGTAATATTTTAAGTTCACATTTAGTTTGGAAGATTCTATATTATATAACGACGCCTAATCCAAATCACTGATTCCAAACTGTAAGAAGATAGGTGGAAAATCAGAGGTCGGAAAGGTAACTCGCAAATAAAAATACCAGTGAAAGAATGGAAAATCTCAACACCTTGAAAACAAAAGGACACCTTAGTGTACAGCAAGTGGATTCAACCAGCAGAGCGCAACATGAAAACTCAGCACCGTTAGCGCTGCAGGCAAGAACTTAGAACAACCCGCCTACCTCAAACAGTACACATTAGACACATACTTGTTTAAACTGTCAGATGTACTAAAACAAACTGAAAATCAATCAATCCTCACTGTCAAACTCCCTGCATTTTTTGAAAATTTTTCATGCGCATTAGTTTGAAAGCATTGACTTAACGTAAAGTGTTCCTATGGTGTAAATACAGAAAAACTAATGTTCTAAGAGTCCTAAATATTCGAGGAGATATGTCAGGAATACAAGCAACTTTCGCATAACAAGCTTCTGTCTCTGGCAACCGGGACTCACCACCACTTCTGTGTAGGTCGAATATAAATAAAACAAGCATCGATATGTTAGAATACAATGCCGCTATCAGTACTTGTTAAGTTTCCTCCATTAAAACTGTCGACAGAAATAAATCCCCAAAACAACAACTTTATTAGGTCTCCGACATTGTCGCTGATCTCATTAATTTCACTGGACAAAACCAAGCTTAAATCCCAGCCATACATGCGCACCTGGTAACGATTGAGTAGGCAGTGTGACGCATCTCTTTAAGTTACAAGACATCTTCAGTTAAAGCGCTTCTCAATATATCCACAGCCTTTCCATATATATCTGAACTTACACACCACGGAATTTTTGTTTGAATTGGTTGGTACACTTTGATTATAAAGCTGATGCAGAAATAAACGTTATCAAACTCTGAATACAATTGGGAAATTAGTCGCTGAATCGGACATGATCTGATACGCCAAACGGTAAACAGTGGGTCTGTACCTTGCTAAAATACCATACACTCATTTAATTTTACATGTCATGGTATTTTTGTTCTCTCAGACTATGGAGGAATGGCACAACGCTACGACATACATCATGCATCTGCACCCCGGCCACTTGATAACATGATGTTATTTGACCTCATAAAGTCTGACCTCTTTCAACAAATCTCACTAATTTTGCATCAAATCTGCTAAAGTTCATATATCTGCCGAATATACTAGAACTTTAGAAGATAATGGGCTATAAGATGTGTAGGGGGTTTCAGGACTGTCAATATTAGTTCACAAAGTACAAGATCCCATCAGATTAGTATTGAATTTTGAATGACCTACATTATTGTCATAGTTACGTGTCGGACATTTTTCAATTAACCTTACCTGTTGCAATTGCTTTTTGTAAATGTTCGTTCCCTACAGAATCCAAATTACTGACTCTTATGGTTTTCATATCTGAGAGTTTTTTACATTGCTTATGGCCTAATAACATTCTCAATGTGTAACGGGAGCACATTGTATTTAAATAATTTGGAATAATTTTCGATGAAATGAAGTTGAGTTGCACATATTCTTCCGAAAATACTATTGTTCTGCCACTCTTTTAATTCTAAGGTATGATTTTAAACTCAAAACGATGCTTTAAAGACTGAAAACCTTAGCTCTGTATTAATTATTCAGCATGGCCGTAGTCCTTCAGTCCTTACTACACAAATCTGAATCTGAAATCTGCATGCTTCCATATATGGTCAGTGACACTTTGAAGAAGTCAACCGAAAGTGTCGGCAATGCTAAGTAAACCTTAATTATTTAGCCCACTAATTTCTGGAACTCGCCTTGATCTTTTCAATGAATCATTTTTGAAGCTACTTACTTTCATGTGTTACTATTGAGCTTTCAGAAAAAGGAATAAGATATCAATGAACTTATGTTAATCCTTACAAATCGTGGTACTGTGCATACCCAACCACGCTCTAAACGTGACAACATAAGGGTTGTTATTGCGTGTTCTAGTAGACAATTCAAGCTATTCACTATTCTGTGAGATTATAAAAAATCTAGACGTAAAAGATTCGATATTGGTTTTTAAACTTCCCCAGAATGTTTTCGCAGATGATCAGTCCTGAATGGGAGGAAGATTTAGGACACGTTAATACTCAGATCATTGTTCAGTATACGGTAAGCCATTATTATACTATTTCGTAACCTGCAACAAGATAACAGTAATACGTTGAGGCGCACTTGTTTTCTCTTATCGTTAGAAAGTTACTTATCTTGTCTACGGTTATATAATGGACTCCATAACGTTCCAGTTTTGATTTAGGACACGGATGGGAGTCCATGTTGAAAGGTTTACTAAGATCTGTGAAAAATACATCTACAGAATTACTTTCAATTTAGCTGTATCCCAATCTTCTCTCGCAGTGAGCAGGTTTTTCAAGCATGACAAGCTTATTCCAACTCTTAACTACATGTTTCGTGGTCTTCAGGACCCTTTCCAATCAATTTCAGTCGCCATGGGCACGAGGACTTGTGTACATTTTTCGTTTGTGCCTTACTTCCCTGTAGTGAATGTTGAACTTGCGTTTGCCTCCCTTCCACACACAAACCGTTATAAAACGTTTAGCTGCAGCGAAATGGCAATGAGCCGTAGTCATAACTGACCATTTATCTAAGCCACTGTGAGAACAGATTAATATCAGAAACTACCCACTAATTTTGTGGTTTATTCGTTTTTAACTTCCCCCAGCCTAAAGGAATCGATACTTTTAGTTCAGCATCTAAGTTGACACCTACAATGAGTAGCATATTTTGTGACGCTGCCTGTAGATTCGATTCTGTGATGAAAGGAAACTTGTAAATGAGGATAATTCTTACTTAACTATTTATGGCTTTTTCCTTGTCCTATTCTTTCATTATTTAAGATGCAATTGTCTTGATACCGATGAAGCGATTGCAGCTCATATCGTTTAAAAACACTTAAGCGTGATGGAACTCTAGGGAACTACATACATTAATCCATGTTTCATGATGATTCTCAAAGTATTATGAGTAAGGATTTAGTTTGGAGACTTTCAGCTGAATTGTAAGTAATATAACCATGTGGATCTATGTGGATGAAGTCACAGTTAAGCTAAGAAGCATTATTCATATCTCAGACTAGTTAGATAAACCAATGAGATTAGATTAAAGGTCATCTAACCCGTTATTTTTTTATTTTCTTGCATCAGCACAATTTATCACGAAAGATTCGATAATAATAGATGATGTTCTTTTCATAAAAAATACACCAAACGAAATTTCGCATCATTACTTAAGGAACATTAGTTTACAGTAATTTTAAGTACTGAAGTTTTCGTTGCACTTCCAGTCAACAAGAGACTTTTTATTTATGTGAGTAGATTCCATGAGACTTATGTTTCTTAGTCTTAACAAAAGTCAAATATATGGAATCCTGCTAAACATTTAACAAATGTTAGAGCAAAGGAAATTCACTGACTTCCTATTGTTCATAGAATTTGTTCAGCGAAAAATGAGAAGTTATAAAAAACTAATAATAAACAGTTATAGTCAGCTGACTTGCAAGAACTTTGTTTTTAAAACAGATAAAAATTAAATATATTTTTATATGAACCATTTCTAGTCTAAAATTAGTCTGACAAAACGTAATTACGAGACATTGTCACCTCCCTTTGATATATTTTTTCCTAAATCTCCAAGCAAATTATAAGAGTGCTAATGAACAAGTGTTTACCAACTTATTACATTCATTTTAAAGGTTTAAAATCAATAACCCAACCGTTTCTGTTACCTTGACATGGTGGTCCAACTTGCCTATCGTAATGAACTATTCGAACTATACTGGCTGAAACAATCGTTTTTCAAGGTCGTATCATGACAAACAGGTCGGTTGAGGAACAGTAAGACTAAAAGCAGCAAAAATATAGGGTCGGAGGGTAAAGTTTTACTGCTGACTATACAGAGATGTGACGGCAGTAGGGTGTTTCCTTCAGATAACCTGCATAACAGCTACGCTGCCTTAGAAAAGGTCCACCCTAAAAATGCACATCTCGCCTTATCCCACGGATATCCGTTTCCAGCGGTAAGGTTCCTACAAGTACAGATCTAATAGAAAAATTACACACACAAAGATCGTGTGTGACCGGTCTCAATTAGTCGTCTCTTGGGCGTTGCGGTTACCCTCTCATGTCCTTAAGACCAATTCTAATACAATTTCCTTTCTAGGTAAATCTAGAAGAACCTTTCCACGGTGTGCGAAACCGGGAAGTGATAACCGCTCTCATACCTCTAACAGCACTCAAGACCACTGTATTCGTGGTCAATTTCCCTCTTTAATTCCTATTCACCATGCTTTGCAACTCATCCAGTACTATGTGCCCACAGTCATATGCTTCACTGTGATATTGCTGGTTTTCAGATTACACATTTATATGTGGTATCTCTTGGCATAATTCAAACTGGTTCAAAAAATTGGGAAGTATATCATTCCTAAATTCCCATTATAAAATATCATTTGTATATTGATTGTCATTCTGCTTATGAAAGTAAAAAGATAAGAAGTTTGAATTATGAGATGATATTCGTAAACCAGAAGTTATAGAGCTATATCAAACTTTTATTGCGTCTTAGTCGAACTTTTGATGCGTTAAAAAGCAGCACATATTCCTTCAGTTTAGTCGGTACTATGGCGAGCAATAAGGCAAGATTTATACTACTAATTCAGTAGTGAGAATCGAACAGGAAAAATGTTGAACTAGGAAACTATCAACTAATTTACATTCTGTTTTTTGATTTCTGTCACAGTAGAATAAATTACCAACATCCCAGTACATGTAATTGCAATATGGGGTCTAAAAAATTTAATGAAAATCGTAAGACCATAAAACACAGAATTTCACCATGTCTTTGGTCAGTTTCGACAGCTTGACTTCAACCGCTTTGGAAAATAAGTAGTTGTATTAATATCGATTATTTTTTATTGTTCAATATGATAAACCGATTATAGGCATTAACCATTTTCATTTTAGATCTAGTTCAACATTATTTCTCCAGAAAAATGCCAAGACCAGCTTCAGCTCAATCTGAACAAGAAGACAATACTGATTTACTATTAATTGAAGAATATGAACGATTAAATAATCAATTAAGAATATTACAAAATGAACGTCAAAAACAAACTGAAGAATTTACTGTTAAACTAGGAAAATATAAGTAATGTTATGATAATATACATAATTATTTTACCAAAAACAAAACCAAAATCTAGAAAAGCTACAGAAATATTAGAAAAAGAAAATGAAGAAATTAAATGTTTGTTAACATTAGTAGATAGCGAACAAAATAGAAAACAAGATATGAAATGTATTGAACAATTAAAACAAATTTTAAAAGAGCAAGATAATATACAATTACAAATTGATGAATTAAAAACTTATGGAAAACGTTTAGATAATGAGGTAAGCAAAATAAATAAATAAATTTCAACGGTTAAGATCATGAGCTAGTTGAAGCTAGACCACCATGGGAAACCTGGAAGCACTGGACGGCCGTCTCGTCCTATTTTGGGACTCCTCAGCAGTGTGCATCCACGACCTCCCCTCCCCAGGACCTACTGGTTTCGCGCACGAGCAGTTAACCACTGGACCACCGACCCGGCATCCAACAGTGTTAATGTCTAACTTCAACTAATCCACGAAATCGAGCGACATATCCACCATTGTCTTCAGAGAGTTACTGATAGGTCCTGGGCTCGAATCTCGCAAGGGACGAGGTCGTGGAGGCGCACTGCTGAGGGGTCCCAAAATAGGACGAAACGGCCGTCCAGTGCTTCGAGATTTTCCATGGTGATCTAGCTTCAACTGACCCATAATCTTAACTATTGAAATTACTATAATAACTCATCTAAAATAAATAAATATTTACTTTTTTTTAAAAAATAGACACGTAAAATAGAAAATCTTATCCAAGAAAAACAACAAATTCGTATGATACAAACTAAAAAAGAAACTGAGACCAATGAATTAAAATTACAAATTGAAAAAAAATTAGTTACTATGGAAAATAATTTACATGAAGTAATTAAACATACACACACAAAAAAAATCTTTTTTTGTTTCTAGAAAAATATGAAATTTTGTGATACATTAGCATATAATAATAAAATACGCCATGAAATAGAATGTGCTAGAAATGAACGAAATATTTATTATGCAATACATCAAAAATTAAAAGATAAATTAATACATTTAAATAAATTAAAAATTAAATTAATTCAACAAGCAAGTCTTACATATGATCAAAGGTAAGATTATTATTATTATTATTATTATTATTATTATTAATTTAAGAGCGGATGCCAAAAATAAAAGTAATGCATTAAAAGAAAAAAATGATAAAGATAATATTGGATTTGAAACTGAAATGAAAGATCTACAAAGAATTATTGATCATAATGATCAATTAAAAAAATTTATGACAATTAAATCAGATGAACGTTTAGATTGGAAACAGAAAGCAGAAAATCGTCGACGTAAATATGGTAAGTATGAATCATTTATTATATAAAGTGAATGTATTATTATTATTTTTTGATTGAGATCATGAACAGATGATGTTAGACCACCATTGAAAACCCTGAAGTACTGGACGGTCGTTCCGTCCTATTGTGGGACTACTCAGCAGTGCGCATCCACAGTCGTGCTCGCGGGATTCGAACCCAAGTCCTTTGGTTTTCAATCCTCGGAGTTCTAGTGAGAAGCCGTGACCAGTGGAGCTAATCTGTGTCGGGTAGAAACAGGTGTCTATCTCAGTACAATGGAAGATGGTCGCGCAACTTCGTGGATTGGTTGATGTTAAACACTAACACCATTAGATGCCGGCTCAGTGATCCGGTAGGTTAAGCGTTCGCACGCGAGACTGAAGGCCCTGAGTTGGAATCCCCCGAGAGGGATCGTGGATACTCACTACTGAGGAGTCCCATAATAGGACGAAGCGGTCGTCCAATGCTTCCAGGTTTTCAATGGTGGTTTAACATCAATCGGCTCATGACCTCAATCAAATCTTAACAATCTCCACAACCCCTAAACTGTTAATGTATTATATTATTTAATTAAAAGAAAGTTGTTATTCTTTATTTCGGTTAGATATAAGCAACATAGAACCTGGTACAAATGTACATGGGTTCAGCACAACGAGATGAAATTATTATAATATAAAAAAATAGACTCATCAACAGAGTGTCACAAACAGTGGTGATAGGAAAGATTAGGAAAAGGAAATATGATTCAGGGAAAAATTATGAATTTACAATATAAGATTATATTGAAACCCAGTATCAAAGTGAGGAAAAAAAAGTGAAAGCGTGTGTCCCATTTTGATCGATGATTCCAAACTACATCATCCAAATTCTCTAACTATCGATTGCAATAATTGTACGAAATCTGTTAATTCGAGAATAGAAGGTTACTAAAATTTACAACACAATTTTATGAAATTTCACGCTGTACATACCATTGATAGGTAATGTACTGGCTTATTCACAAACGTTTATTTGAACATGATATATATTGAATATTATTATTCACTTTAAAATATATGCAGATAAAGTAATTGCGTTAAATATTAAGTACATAATTAGAGATTTTGATTGATCAAATAAATTGGAAAAAATATAACATTCGGTATGACAGCATATAGAATAAAGATCCAGTTTTTATCAGCCAAATGAAAAGCGAACGTATAAACTGAATATTTAACTGTAAATTAACTACCGTATTAAACTCTGAATTATGTTACCTAATATTACCAGTCGCTTGTAGTTAATATTACTGAGACGGCAGTTGACAATACTTTAGCCTTCTTTTATAAGTTTGTAAATTGCTGTCGATGGTGTTACCAACTTTTGCATCTAATGATTAATTAGTTACGCTGCAAAATTGGTTGATCGCCGAATACTAACTAATCTCATACTTATCTAATGCTTTAATATGGATAAGAATTTACCAAACAATTCTCAGTGTGACCATTAGTTTAAATAACTCAAAATGTTTTGCTCTGTTTTGGGATGTCAGATGGTCGATAATATCTTAGACTGTGAGCCTGTGTAACCTGGATTAATCCCTTTAAGGTTCTAGGTATACCTTGTTGACTAATGCCTACTAGCTTCAGAGTTTCTTACTGACTACCTCAATTCATCTAACATCTTAAATTATGTTTTATTTAAAATTGCTGTGGAATCAAAATTCATTGAATTTAAAACTTATGAACTGAGTGAAATTACTTCCACATTTATTACTACTGTAGTGAAGGAGAACACAGGTGAGGACAACCGAATCAGAGTTAGTTGATAAAACAGAAAAACCATACTATAATACCCTATTTGCAAAATGTTCAATAACTGTCTCAGACTTCATTGTCCTTGCATTTCTATACTAATTGCTTTCTATTCCCGTTCTTCCTTTCTTGATCTTCCCAATCTTCTGCTGCCAGACATTACATTTCTGACTCGTGTTATATACTACTTATGTCAATATCAGTAGCACGTACCGCACTACTACTGTTTTAAATAATAATAAAAGAATTCGTTCATATTTACGTATATTTTTTTCATCTAGTTAGTTGTCTTATTGTATTATTAAAGTAGAATGAAGTGAAATACAATTTTGCAAAGTTCTACTTTTTCATGAAATGGTAAACACTGTACTCAATGGTTGAATATCATAGATGAATTACTTGAATGAAGTATTTGTCTTTAGTGATGCTCTAACAAATCTCATAGTTATATTCACCGTAGTTCACTAAATATCTAAATGAAATTATTAATATTATCGTTACTAAATGCACTTTTTTTAAAAAAATTATTTAGGTGCTACTGGTGAAATAGCACAACAACAAAGAAGTTTAAAAATTCAAGAATATGAATCAGCAATGAATCGTTTACAATTAATCACTGGAAAATGTGATGTTGAACAAATGACTAGATATTATAAACGTAATGAAGATGATAACTTTACAATGTTTAAATATGTGACTGAATTAAATAATCAGGTAAAAAAAATAATAACTAATTAATAATACACTTAAACAAATTATATATGATTAGATTGAATGCTTAAATGATAATATCATAAATATAGAGAAAACAATTAATGAATACGATGAAGAACAAAAAGTGTTTGAAAGACAAAGAGTTAATAAAATGACTGAATTACAGGTACGTTTTTTGTTTGTATTATTACTTATTTTGCATATTAAAATGATTGATCTATCAATTATAGCAATCCATAAATCAAGAATACATTTATGTGGTCAACACTGAGACATACATTCTACGTAAAGACTAATGGTACTATCCTGATTTCTCAAACTGAAGTAGATAGATCAGGGTTAAAAACAGAAACTTATTTGTTGGAAATCAATAGATATGATTTCTTATCCGCAAGTTTTACAAAACAAAGCCTGATATATTCGACTTGGAACTTTATTGGTCTAATACTAATCTGGTTATCTTAAAAAAGTGAATTCTAACATCCCGATACAACTGAAAACTTTACAAACATTGTACCATTACCAAGTTATCCAATCATAACCACCTTGAATAGTTTAACTAAGTAATACAAGTGAAAAATGGAAAAATGAACATACAATGAAGTTAATAAAATTACATTTTCTTGTAGATATGTAAGTTGTTGACGCTTCTCGGTTTCTCTCAATATGGATGAAGATTTCATCTTGAGAAACTTGTGAACAAAATCCAGATGACATTGATGAAACTATCGGAAGCAATGAGCTAGCTCAAAAAGGACCAGCTACAGATGACGTTTCCATGGGCAACTGACTTTGTAATATTAAATCCATACTGTTCAAAATATATCATCAAAAGTTATTGAGCCAGAAAGTTGCCTAGCATTTTTTTAAGGACTGATGTTTTTTACTCATGTTTATGTTAGGGGAGCATACAGGGAAATGCTTATCTTCAGTAAGAGACATCCCATCGGGATTAAACGACAGAACAAATTTCCACTTGGACTTTGTTAATTTATTCTTCATAAGACTGATACAGCTATCGTTCCTGTATCAATCTAACTTTTGATACGTACTATAATTTCATTTAACCTTGATCTCATTTAAATATAATTCAATCCTGAATTCACGACTGCAGTAGATACTGGTCATACTTTCAAAAAAAGAAGCAACAAGGAGTTATGAAGTTAAGTTATATCATAATAATGTTCGTCGTTCTGTTCAGTAACATCAGTAGTGAAGACGCACTGCTGCATGACATGCAATAATGGTCGATCAAAGTATGAGAAATATGCGATCACATGATACAGTGATTATTTAGGCTAAGGACATCTTACTCGACTAAATTTAAGGTTGACAACGACCTATTTAGATCCATCCAACTTAAAACGTTCAAACGTAAAATGCGTTTACAAGAATCAGTGATAAATACGTCCAACAGTACACATTTGTACGACTCACCTCTTAAAAACACTTGGTAGTTAGCAAATTACGAAATTCAATCTTTAAACTAACATACAGAGCTATTAATATCACCCAACATGACATATTGTTAACCCGACGGTAAATACTCCACCATTCAGAGACGGCTCAGTTAGTCTTATGTCGAAACGAAAAATCAAATTTGCTATGAGTAAGACATTTTACGCAGCTCAACTGACCATCATTAAAGGGGTCTATGTTCATGCGAAATCACAAAGATCGAGTAAATAATTATGTCATATTGCATCATATCTATCAGTTTTACATATATGTGCGGAAACACGGACATCGGGAGGAACAATTATGATATAAACGCAAGGGTGGCTGATCACACACTTAAATGAATGTCAAAACAGTTAACCCCCAATGATTGAATAAGAAAATGGAGAAGATAACTACCTTCCTCCATTAGGAATCATTTGGTTGAAACTGATCACACGATTGATATCAAGTCAAACTTTTTGGTATTAAATAAATGGCGTATACTGAGGTTTCTTGAAGAACTGGTTGGACGAAGACTGAAACCCTCTTTATGTATCCTGAAACAGTTTGTTCTCACATCCTAACCTACCCTGGTAATGCTGATTTATTATCCAGCGTGGTTTTCACACTATGTACTTTATTACTATTATTGTCTTGGTTTCCTCTTACGTTCCGGTTTGTCTAGATGATCTTTTGTTTTATCGTGTGTAATGTCTTAATGGGTATATTTGTGATCAGATTGTCCGAAATGTTTCAAGCATATATGTCACATAGTTCGGATAACCTTTACCTTTGTCGTTGCATTATCCAAACTTATCAAGGGATTGACTTTTTAAGCATACATTTTTGCCGGATCCTGTTATGTCTATGATTGACTGTATAATGTAAAATGTCATACTCTTTATAGTTTCTCCCTTTATATTTTCGCATTCATTAGGCACAAATCAAGTCCGATAAAGAAGCAGCTAATACAGCTGAAAATCGTACAATACATATACATAAATTATTAGATCAAATTAAAACAGAAATAAAACAGTTAACTATAAAACTTGGTTGTGATTTATCTAGAATAACCGAAATGCTTGGCGGTGATGGTGATCAAATAACTGAAAGAAATTTAATGCTTTATCTTAACGTATTAGAACAAAGAGTAGATGAATTATTATCAGTTAAATGTTATTCACAAACTAAAGTAAGAAATAATAATAATATTTTATTCAAAACCTTTGATATTTAGCGATTATTCACATTTGTAGAATTCCCTGAAACATACGGGAAGTCAGTAGTGGTCCGAATACTTCAACAGTGACTGTGGATCCAAGTGAAAGGAGATCGATTCCACCAGGGAATACCAATTCCCTCATTACTACACGTACACATTGCTGACAGGTGCTGTGCAGCACTAAATTTTGGCCCAGAATTTCCTGTCGACTTCCGATCTGAACACTCTACGCTAGAACACTCGTTTTGTTATGACACTTTGATATCGCTCGTGATTTAATTTTGTTCATAGTTGGTTACAGTTATCAGTGTCGTTTGGGATACGAGTTTTATTCTTTTCCGATAAGTTAATGTCAATTTTTCATTTTACGTCAGATGCGGTACACACCTAACGGCACTTCAATATGTAGAACCCTACATTTGCAAATCAAAAGACGGTAAAAGTAGGGGAGGTGGTTGTTGGGTAAGAATCAAAAATAGACAGAAAAACATGGGGTATTTATAGCTATTAGTATCGGGTATCAAATCATTATGAGTCAGCCAATCCGCAAGTATACCAGTTATACTATTGTCCAATCGTAGCGTGCCACGTTGATATTCTAGAAGGCTCTATCAGGTTCTGGTTAGACGGAATCTCTTCGGATACTTGAGAGCCTCTGGAGGCTTTGTCACGCTTTTCTTGGCTGTCCCAGCGATCGGGTACTTAATGCCAGATTCATCTGTTCGGTGAGGCCCAGATATTACCTAAACGAGTTATTTTCATTTCATTATAACCTTCATTAAATACAAATACATTTACATTCGAAATGTTATCACATAGTGATAACGGGAGGATCGAATAACGTTAGTTAATAATAATTTATCGATCCATGAAACAGTTTGCAATGACTGATATTATGAAATATAATATTTATATAATTTCTAATGCTGGAACATCTTAAACAACTAAAACAAATGGAAACAAAGTGAAAGAAGATCAAAGATGCTTGACAAATATATCAGCTACTTTATTTGTTTAGATTTTTGTGAGTATTCGTTGAAACTGATTCTAGACCATCTTAATAAAATACTAGGCCTACTTTCAAAGGTTATTCGATTGCTTCAAACTAATAAACAATTTACATACCTTTTTGTAATGAACTGTATCACTCAAGTTGTTGTTAAAGGCAGAAATTGTTCAGCTTCTATTAGGATATGTACGTTCTGAGAGGACCGCACTGATATTCCTACTTGGTCACAAGTTTTTATTAGAGCCAGATAGTTGGTGTTTGGAGCATAAGATACTGCATTCGGATCTCAATATAAACATCAATACATGTCCTGGATTCCGCTGGCAGTCATAATCTAACTTAAATAAGTTCTGTATAATAATAACACCGTCGGATAATTTTTGTGTGGTGATGTTTTCATGTTTGTGTTCTATAGGCTTACTGAGTGAAATAGTCTGATAATCAACGATGTACAGTTCAATAATATTTACTCTGAAAAAGTTGCTTCCATTAAGTCACGAAACATCAAAAATATTTTTTTTCTACCGATTGGGATATAACATAAATATGCTTATTATTAACTCTCTACTCAATGCTCAATTTATTTGAAACTGTCAAGTCCAACCTTGGTATTTATACCTATGAAATAATTTGGTAGGATTTGTTAGTTCCAACAGTTTCCACCCCGTATTCCCATAAAATTATTCCAGTTAATATGTAATCGACATACTATAACATAAATTCATAATTTCAAGCATAATGACCATGTCGTTTAAACAAACCAATGTATTTGTTTATATTGTGTCATTTACTGAATTGACAAAATAGATTCTATAACAACATTTTAGGGACATAGTGATGAGATGATTCAAGAAAACCCGAAGATAACTTTGGCAACAAATTTCATGGAAACCGTAAGAACAAACAGAGATACATCACTTGTGTTACCATCTTTACAGTAAGTGGATATGTTCTTTGAAATTTGAAACTAAATGTCTGAAAACTTTTTATTGGAGTAAAATACATTTCACTGGTTAAAATCATGAGCCGATTGAAGCTAGACCACTTTGTGGATTGGTTGAAGTTAAACATTAACACCGTTGGATGCCGGCTCAGTGGTCTAGTTGGTTAAGCGCCTGACGCGAGACTGATAGGTCCTGGGTTCGAATATCGCGGGGGGGATCGTCGATGCACACTGCTGAGGAGTCCCATACTAGGACGAAACGGCCGTCCAGTGCTTCCAGGCCTTTCATGGTGTTCTAGCTTCAATTGACTCATGATTTCAACCAGTGAAATTTCTAAAAATCTCCACAAGAACCCATTCTGATAAAATACATTTATGTGGATATTTTTAAGCTTGTTATTTATTTCAGTCTTACACATTTGTATGCTCCAACTCGCATGATGTAATCATCCAAAAATAATAAACCATATGAATACCTTCTAATAATATGTAAATTACTCCAGAATATGAATATATTTTATTTTTATTTTTATCATTCCTAGCATTTTCACTATATTTTCATGTCAGTAAGATTATTACTTTAACAGATATCTCAACAACTCACTCCGTAACCTTAATTAATATCTGAAAAATGCTCAATGATAATTTTTTATTTTTATCATGAAGCAATGCATATTGCTACTTGTGTAAGAGATTTATTCTAACTTCTGGGAAAACAAATTACACTAATCATCCCAGTTATCCTATTACACATTTATTTGACATTGTCAATTACTCAAGTGTAGTATTGATCATGTGTGTACGATAGTACGTATGCCTTTAATACACTTATTTGTATCTCGCGCTTATTAAAGTTTGATCACCTAGTTGTTCTCTGAATCAGTGAACAGCCAAACTCTAATGCTTTATACATTTGCCGAATGTTTTATTGTCTATCTGTCGTTTAATATTAGCACGTCAGAAATATATTTATTCTAGATACGATGGATGTTCGACTTTCATTATCTATGTTATATCAATGTGATTTATAAACAGAATGTACGCAACGTAAATAAAATATGCATCACATTAGCATCTATATGGCTCCGCAAAAATAGCGCCAACAATGTGCACTAAAAGCATCACATTCTCGACCGTATATAATGTGATTGACTGAATCTAGACGTGTATACGATTAGATCCCGGGACAGTGGTCTAGTGGTCAGAATTTCACATGTGAGACGGAAGGTTCTGAGTTTGACTTCTCGTTCCATCCCAAACGTCCAGCTCAACTTCACTAAATAAAATATATCAAACTTTTGTTAGTAATTATATTACTGTTTGTGACTATAAGCAATTTGAAGCTGATAAGAAGCCTCGAAATGAAATTAAGCCATTTTATTCTTCAAATCTTGTCACCGTTGCTATGTTTGAAGATATTTTACTCATAGACATGCTCTATTCTTTATTGACGAAGTTTAGTTCAGTCTTCAAAGCTTTAATTCTGGCCAAAAATGTTGATTCTCGTGTGCTAGAGTTACAAAATTATTCATTTGCACAAACAAAGATTACTTTAGTTTGGATAACGAAAGCATAAATTGTTGAATAAAGAAAATATTAAATTTAACCATAGATAAGAAAAATATTGGTCAACAGTGGAATTCCGTGAATTGATACTCATCTAATAACACTGTCTATTAAATAAGCTAATTAAAGGGCTTGGCCAAATTGAATGTAAACAAAATTAAGTATAGGAAAAGTGATATAAGTATACATTGTACGTGGAAAAATGAATTTTTGAACCGTAAAGATCACAGATCCACGCTTAAAAAAACTATCCAGAATAAAAATAATAAGTCGATGATTTTCAACTTCTCAATGCATAATCCACTTGTTGAATCAAAAATATAAGTATCACACATCAAACTATAATATACTAATCATATAAAATTTCCAATTATACTTTTTTCTATACTCTAAGAGATGAAGATGATACAAATGATGATGAAAATACACCAACATCAATTCGTCCATTATCACAAGCTGAAATAATTGGTCGAGTTACACGTCAATTACAAAAATTGGAAGCGAAACACCATCCATCTATGAATACAAATAAAACTTACAGTCGTGTGTCATCACCTAATAGGCGACTAAAAATTCGTATGTAAATGAAAACGAATTTTTCTTTAAATAATAATAATCATAGAGTATCGACTACAACTTTACTTTTTGAAAAAATGTAATGATACCATCCCATTTTAAAGTAGGGAAAAAGTATGCATTGACTTACATATTTGAAATACACACTGCATGATTGATCTTATAATCATGATTAATTTAATTGTTATAGATAAAAATATTAATATTATTGGATTAATTCCCTTGTTCTGTGATATAGATTTCGACACATACTGACTTCACTTGGAGAAGTGATGGAAACCAAGAAACATTGGGTAGTTATTTAACCATAGTTTAGCACTCCTTATCATTGTGAACACTTATGACCTCACCAAAGACTAAGTCCTTAGTTTCAAAAGTTGTCGTCTAACTACTAATTCGAAATTAATCAATAGTAGACACTTATTAAATTCGGTCAGTTCTAGATATAGTGTGTCACATTTACTGTCATTAATAATATCTGTCTCAAGTTCAACATAGTTGAAGTGCACAAGTCATGAATTACCAGTGAAACGTCGGAAATCTACCTTAAAGTTAGCCCTTCAGTCAGTAACAACTTGGAACTTCGAGATGCAGTTATCGATTCCAATCCCGTAGTGGTAGAGGTAGTAAGAGTATAAGCAGTAATCGGAAAGATTAGGGTTCGAAGATGTTATTCAAGGAGTATAATACAGTGAAATAAATTTGGAAAGAAAATAAAGGACATGAAGGATTCAGAAGATTAGAATTCGGAAGAATACAAAGAGTGGATACACCTGCGCCATTGCAAACGATTTTGAGCCATGCCATTCAAGGTCCTTAACCATCGGTTGCTGTCATCTCGTGGTCGCCAACCAGGTAGTCTACACCTAACAACATGGCACAGTCCACTTGTCAGTGTCTTCATGGGTTTGCGCCATGTTTTCGTCTGGCCGCCCCTAGCTTTCTTCCAAATTACTCCTACACCACTGAACATCGCACGTCGAGGCAGTCGGTGGTTGGGAATACGTAACACATGTCCCAGCCATCTCAACTGATGAAGTTCCACTGCCTCATCAATTGATTTGCCATCCTTACCTAGTACCCGTTTCCCAACAACTGAGTTACTTACTCGGTGGTCCCAGGATGTACGAGCAATATTTCGAAGGCATTTATGATCGAATACTAGTAACCTACGAATATCCTCTGCTCTTACCGGCCATGTTTCACTGCCATAAAGTAGGACGGAACGAACTACTGCTCAGTAAACCTGTTCTTTAGTTGATAGACGGATATCTCGCCTACTCCATAAATAACGCAAGTTGGCAAAAGCTAGTCGAGCCTTCTGTATCCGTGCTGAGGTTTCGTCACACACTAAACCACAAGGACCGATGAGACTTCCAAGATAAGTGAGGCGGTCGACACACTCAACTACTTCACTCCCTATCACTAGTTCGGGTGTCGATGTAACCCAATCCTGAAGTAACATTTTGCATTTCTGGGGGGAGAATCGCATCCCGAACATGCTTGCATTGTTGCTTAGAGTGGTCAGAAGACTCTGCATTTTGTCAGCGTCTTTACCAAATAAAACTACGTCATCTGCATATTCTATGTCAACAAGTGAACCTCCCGGTACAAGTTCAACCCCTGGAAATCTAGACGAGGAAAGTGTTATGTCTAAAAGTACGTCGACCACAAAGTTGAACAAGAATGGGGAGAGTGGACAGCCCTGACGAACACCACTTGAGGTAATCAATTCTGATGACAGTTCGCCATAAGCTCTTACTCTACCAGTTGTGTTCGAGTAGAGAGCCTTTATAAGGTTAATGTACTTCTTTGGTACTCCTTTCAGTGACAAACACTGCCATAGAACCTCACGATCGAGAGAGTCGAATGCTGCCTTAAGGTCGAGAAATACTACCATTGTGGGGCGTCTGAATGTGTGTCTGTGTTCTAGAACCTGACGTAGTGTGAATATCTGGTCTATACAACCACGTCCACGTCGAAAACCAGCCTGGTTTTCTCTAATCTGCTCTTCACGAGCTTTAGTTAGGCGTCGAAGTATTATTGAGGCTAATATTTTAGATACTATATTTGTCAAACTGATTCCTCTGTGATTGTCACAAGAGGACTTTTGTCCTTTCTTATAGACTGGCACAATCAGTGATTGAGACCAGTCAGATGGGATTACTTCCACTTCCACTGAAGGCTAGTTGAACTGATCTCTAAAGTGTTCTGCCCATCGATCCAATCTCCGGGATTGAGAATGTATAATATCTCTATCTTTTTCTGGGATAGTTTCGCTAACAGTCGGGTTCCTAATACAGGTTTCCTTAACAAGTCTGAACAATTGTCTGCTATTACCTATTGCCGCTACCTTTTCCATCTCTCTTGCTTTCGCTACCCACCACTGTTCGCGATCATTGCGTAGACTTCTTGTCAGCTTGCGCTTAAGCTGACCCCGCTCTTCATTATGTTCAGAGCCAGATGGAATGAGATTGGATCCATTGTCGCTCCCTAACCTTACGGTTTACCTTACTAGCAGATATCACCGCTGTTTCCACAGCTTTTCGGATGTCATTCCACAATGCCTCGGGGTGGGCATTACGTACATGGCTGCCTAACTGATTTTCTAGATGTTCCGGAAATATACTCTTAGCTTGACTATTATTAAGTATGCCCCTAAGAGGTTTACTTTCAGTGTCTTTCCTACGTCCAGTAAGACGCAAGCAAATACGCGCTCGCACTAGAGCATGATCTGAATCTAAACATGTGCCCCAGAATGAGCGACAGTCTTCTATCGAGCCCCTCCATCGGTGGCTGATAGCGATGTGATCTATTTGGGTCCAACGTTGGGACGAATTAGGGGGTCGCCATGTTAAAAGATGTTTTTCCTTATGCTTAAAGTTAGTATTTGCAAGAAAAAGGCGGTTATCTGAGCATAGCTGCAACAGACGGTCGCCATTATCTGTTCTTTGAGCCACGACACCATAAGATCCACCTAGGTGTCTTTCACTATCGCTTAGTTTACCTACTTGAGCATTAAAGTCGCCGGCCATTATTACTACATCCGAGCGCCTAGCTTTTCGGAGAAGGTCGGAGAACTTTCTGTAAAACTCATCTTTTACATCATCTGCGCTGCAGTCAGCGGAAGAATAGGCAGAGACGACTAAGAGGCAACGACGAGTGTCCCTATCTTTCCGAGATCTTAATGTTCCGTTTGGTCGGACAGCGCACAAACGACTGTCTACTGGGATCCACTCTAAGAGAGCTAGTTCTGCCCTAGGGCTCAATGCTATACCTACGCCGGCGAGGCCACGGGAAGCAGAATCAGGGCTTCCAGATACACCAAGCGTAAATCGAGTTGGTTCGTTAGTTTGACATGGTGAGGTCAAATGAATGACAATACTGGGGTCACGTATGCGCGTTTCGGAGACGCAGCATACATCGATGGCGCGGGATTCTAAAGTCCTAGCTAAAGAAGTCTGCTGTCCTATTTGGCAAAGTGTTCGTACGTTAAAAGCTCCTACGTATAGTTTAGAGCGTGGTTTCAGGAGACCAGGAATAGCGTTCCACGTACTCGAATCGTTTGCCCTAGCGGTGCGAGGTGAAAAAAGGACGTGAGAAGGGTTAGTCGGGGAGATAAGAGTGGTATTAAGAGGTGTAGGAAGGATTTGACTGTGACCAACTTGGTCTCGTGTGCTGTTACAAGGATGAGGGCTGGTGTCACTTCCCGGCTGCCCACACCGTGGAAGGGTATTTCTTGAGGAACCTGAAAAGGAATTCGGATTAATATCGGCCTTAACGGCCTGGGAGCGTGACCGCAGAGCCCAAGGGACAACTGTTTGAGGCCGGTCGCGCACGGCCTTTCTGAGGGAGGTTTTTAACGTGTTAGCTCCGTTCTTCAAAGGGCCTTACCGCCGGAGACGGAAATCCGTGAGGTAAGGTGAGGTGTGACATTTTTAGGGTCGACCTTTTCTAACCCCACCCCTTCTTGTGGGAAGGCAGCATCGCTGCAGATGCTGGTTGTCCGAGGGGAACACCTTACTGCTGTCACACCCCTCTACAGTCAGCAGTACGACTTCGCTCTCAGACCTTGAGTTGCTGCTTTTAGTCTCACCGTTCTCCAATCGACCTGCCTGGCATGGTAGAACCTATAGGAACATTTGTTCCAGCCAATATACCTCGGTTGGGTCATCACGATAGGCAAGCCCGACCGTCATGTCAAGGTAGCAGCTACAGTCGGGTGAAGTTAGCCCCTGGTGAGCATGAAATTATCGTTCAATTGGTTGGTTTGAAAGATTTATTCAAATGTTAAATTCCTGGTTAATGTTGATAGCAATATTTGTGTTGTGAATTAGTATCTGACAGGTCAGTAGAATTCATAGATTTCTTCGGAAACCTGGCGGAGCATTAATATGTGATCAATCAAAGCACACTAAGGTTCGGAACAAGGGTTTCGCTGTTTAAAAGCCTTAGCTACGTATTGGATGAATATTAAGACCAATATTTTAGAGACTATTAAGTAAACTAATTCTACTGTAGCCATCATAACCAGCGATCGAGACTAGTTAGCTAGGATAACATCTATATCCCAGACTCTAGCTAATATATCAACCAGACTTACTATTAAGACCGGGAGACCATCCTTAAAGATTTCCAGAAATGAACCATCAAGTTTAACTGGTCTGCCAAACTTTAAACTATCCATAGCTCGTAAAACTTTAACAAAACAATGTCATTCTACATGAGTATCAATAACCGGTGATTGATTTAACTCAGGTTCGTAGTTTTTGACAATATAAATTAAAGGTTTCCTGAAACTTCCAACATTTCAAAGTGTGAATATATAAGCAACTACTCCACATATCCTCTAACCACAATAGATCAATTTAATAATTTAATCCATTTACGAATGTAGTAAAAAACACGGGTTATGTTGTGGCCCTGTATATGACTCCAGTTAGATCGATCCGCTGATTGCTATCGAAATATACATCCTGGCTACCCTCATACATAACTAACGACTTAACTCGCGTTAGTGAATAACGAAACTAAAATAAACCAAACACAAGAATGGATTTTAAATACGTATATTTCATACAATCGTTGATCTGAACGGACAATTAGGGAAACGAAGCGAAACGGATCGGAGAAAGCATGTGAGACAATTCGATCTAACCAAACGTGACTCAATATTTGTAGTCAGACAAAAATAAGTT